CCATCAAACCTGTCCACTTCCTGTACGCACTTCCCGGCGTAACCTTCACCCTGACGTCTGAGGTCCCGTGCTCTTCCATCCGCTCGACGGAGGAGAAATCTTGATTCGTCGCTGAACCAGACATCTCTCAATCGCAGTTGAGGCCACACCCTGTGTTGACGACACCAATGCAGTCGTTGTTGATGATGTTGTCGACTCAATATGACGCGTCTAACAGGACGGCTTGTAGACCTGCTGCTCTTAAACGGTTTCGTACGGTCTGGTCGGAGATTCTGCGCACTCCGGGTACTTAGGATGCAGTTGAGGTGGCTGTAGTCGTCCTTACACATAGGTGGCGCAGTCGGATGTAGCGATCTTGGGCGGGGTGGTTACTCTTGGTCGTCCCGACCTTGGCCGACCACGTGTTGACCCATGCTGTAGAAACCGATCCCATAGCCTTGTGAAGGTGCTGGGCTCTACATTGAAAACCCTGGCGACAGCTGATCGGGATTCCGATGCCTGCAAGCGGCCAATGACATTGTTTCTTTGCACTTCTGTTAATCTTGGCATGTTGTTAACTGTCACTGTTTCGACTGACGCAGATACCAGGCAATCAAAACCCTGTACTTTAATAACATTCATAGCGCTGCCGGGGGGCACGGGTGGCCCAGTCGTCTAAGGCGCCGAGATTCGCTGTGCAGAGTTGCGTCCCTTGGGCACGCCAGAAACCAGTGATTGTGGGTTCGAATCCCGGTTCGCCCCGATTATGTTTCTAGGTTTGCCAGCGCCATACCCGTGCTCGTGGGTGCTTCGGGCTTTCCTCCCACATTAAGCTGACACGCCGCCATATAACTGGAATACTGTTAAAAGCGGCGTTAAACCCAACTCACTCACTCACTCATAGCGCTGCTGTGCGTGCAGCGAGTGGAGATGTATGGCTCTTATGTTTATGCACTGGGTGCGTTTTTCCGAATGGTACGTGTTTCCCGACCTATCGTTTGCATTTCCTTGTTGTGATCATTTTGATCCGGGAAATTTGTCACTGACACATTAAACCTCTTCATTTAGTACCTCTTGGTCCGCTATTTTTTCTTTTATGGCCAAAAATATCCGTATTGCGTTCCTTTTATGAAGAGTATATTACACACTATACCTGTTGTATATATCCTCCCATATCTGTCGTATTACATGCAATGGACGAATTTCATGATGTCATTGGGAAGTGATGAGTTTCTTCAAATGTTCATGTGTAGTGTTACTATATTCCCGCTTAGGTGCCTGATATCATTTATTCAATATTCTGACCGCCTCCGTGGTCAAGTGGTAGAGTGTCCGCCCGGAGAGCGAAAGGTCCGGGGTTCGATCCCCGACCGCGTCATACCAACAGACGTTAAAAGATGGTACTCGTTGTTACCCTGTCTGGCGCTCGACATTAAAGGGCTAAAACAAGGACTGGTCGGCTCGGAGTCAGTATACTGTGTCTGAGTGGGGTATTCATGTTAAACTGTGGCATGCTATCTCAGTGAGCTAGCACTATAAATCGGCATCTGTACGGACTAGTACAAGCAGCCACACACACACACACACACACACGCGCGCGCGCGCTATATAAGTGCAATAATCTTGGACGCGACGTTAAACCCCAGTTCACCTCACCTATTCCATATCCTAGAGAATGTATACATTTCAATCAAGCCAAGTTTATTTGAAGCTGTTTAGTCCAAGGTACAAACATTAAATAAATAGTGCACAAGCATTATATGCACTTTTAAGATGGCTGATATTCATTTGAATAATAAAAAAGATATTTGTGTTTGATGTGTCCCCCAGGAGGTATATGTTTTGAAGCAGGTATTGAGGTCTTCACTGAAGGGTAAGCACGTCCTGTCAAGACGTTAGCAAAAGTCATTGGGAATGTCACAATATTTCCGATAGTTGAATACATTCTAAAGGCTAAAACACACTTCCATTGCACCGCCTCGCCCGAAAGGTCCGTTCGCAATTCAATTGATCATGCGTCCTTGTTTGCTATCACTGTCGTTGCTGAAAATGAAGCACAATTTCAGCGTTTAATTAACTCAAGTTTTTAACAGAACCAATAAAGACCATTTGCATTAAAAGTACATGTTAACATCCCACGTTTGTTTCTTACAGTGCGTGTGTTCACTAAATGCACGAACCTGCATGCGTTTCATTAAACAAATATCCCTGTCAGCGAGAGAATACATACACAAACGCATTATGCTGTTCGCTTCTGAATACATCACTCACAAGAACGTTGTGTAAGAGACGACGTAAGAGAGGACGTGCTGGTGGATGGTAGAAGGTTCTGGCCGGTCCTGGTTGGTTTGGTATGTATGTTATCTCTTCTCATGTCAATTATTTAACAGAATATAATATTGTGAACAAAGGAGTCGATGTGTATGCGGTTAACTAGAGGTCTCAGCAGCATTCTGCTAGGAGGAAGGAGTCACTTCCATGGTCCTGACAGGAAGGATGACAGACCGCCGTGCTATAGCTGGAACACTGCCGATTACGGCGTTAAACAACATTATACAATTACATGCAGATGGGGCTGTTTTCGGCAATGACACTTCTACTATGCCAACAGTATCAACCAGTAAATGGATCCATGTAGCCGCAAATAGGCACCGGTGTAATAATGGTTAAAGGAATCTGTCCCTTCACTTTAGACAACACTCTACTATTCAGAACTACAGCGAGCTTCATTAAAGAGGCTGTCTACGTCGGTGAAATATGAAGGTGAGTGAGTGAGTGAGTTGGGTTTAACACCGCTTTTAACAGTATTCCAGTTATATCGCGGCGTGTCAGCTTCATGTGGGAGGAAAGCCCGAAGTGATGCAGGTCTCAGACGTTTACCACTTCGGTGAAACCCACGAGCACGGGTGTGGTGCTGACAAACCTAGAAACACAATCGCGGCGAACCGGGATTCGAACCCACAATCATAGGTTTCTGGCGTGCCCAAGAGACGCAACTCTGCACAGCGAATCGCGGCGCCTTAGACGACTTGGCCACCCGTGCCCCCAAATATGAAGGTGAAATTTGATTGTTTGAAATAACGTATATGTGAAAAAAGTCAAAATTTTGTCTTGGAAAATTCTCAGATCTAAAAATAAAATTATTATGAACAGCGAAGGCACAAGTTCTGCACTTGTTAGATATTAATTTGAAACGCGAAATTTAAAAAAAAATACGCTCCAGTTTAGTACTGACGTAATATGTATAGGAAGTTCCACAGTAAATATTAAAGAGGTGGATGTATCCTCGGGACATTGCTGATAATCAAGTCCAACGTGCTGCCTTGCAAATTTTAAAACTCAAAAAGTCACTTTTAGTTCATAAGTACTGGTGTGTATCCCAAAGTTTAAAGTCACATCCCCGAGTGAACCCTGCCTTGTTATATTTTGTTTATTTCATTGTATGTTGTTTAACGCCGCACTCAGCAATATTCCAGCTATATGACGGCGGTGCTGCACGACGTTTCATGTAAATGGCGGAATAACCTACCATCAAGGCGTGAGTCCGCCCCACACCGTCACAGACAGCCCCCCCCCCCCCCCCCCCCCGGCTTCATGAAATATGCGTTCCCGTACTTTTTCCATCCTCATAATTTGGGACTAAAAGGACTATATGGATAACTGAATGGGAAATACCTGCATTAATTGTTTGTTCAAAGTGCGTCTTAATTTCGTGCTGTATTGTGAAATGTGCTCCTTATATGGTGTCGATTCATGAAAATTAAGAGGCACTCGACAAAAAACATTGTAATTTTATTTACACTCTGGTGACTGTTGGTAAATGAGCGAGTTTAACGCCGCTTTGAAAAGTATTCCAGTTATATCACGGGGTGTCTACTTGATGTGAGAGGAACGCCCCAAGTGATTGAGACCAGAAGAGTGCATTGATATGGAAACTTTCTGCATAATACCATTAAAGGTTCATCTATTGGCCGACACATTGCAAATCTCTTTTGTCTTATTCTTATCCGCGTCATGGCGACACAATCTTTACATTTTTTACGTAAATTTCTAAGAAGTCCTGAAACACATGCAAATTATTTGTTCTATAAAGAGAATATCAACGATTGTCTTTTAAACTGTTATCGACTCGAGTTGTTGTGTTTGATATCAACAGACACGAGGGTGATTCATGAATCATGCAAAATAATTTTTTCAACGATTTTCAATTTTGTGAATATTAATGACCAGTGTCTCGATGTGGAGATAACTGATGTCATTTCATAGTGACAACATGGCAACCGATGACGTCACACTGATCTGAAAAGCTTTGTGATGCAATTCTTTGTAGCGATTCCAACAAGGAGGTGAGGTGAAATTGGGTTTAACGTCGCGTCCAAGATTATTGCACGTATATAGCGACGTGCATGCACGTGTGTGTGTGGCTGCTTGTACTAGTCCGGACTGATGCCGATTTATAGTGCTAGCACACTGAGATACCATGCCACAGTTTAACATGAATACCCCACTCAGACACAGTGTACTGACTCCGAGCCGACCAGTCCTTGTTTTAGCCCCTTAATGTCGAGTGCCAGACAGGGTAAGAGCAAGTACCATCTTTTAACGTCTTTTGGTATGACGCGGCCGAGGATCGAACCCCGGACCTTCCACTCTCCGGGCGGACGCTCTACCTCTAGACTACGGAGGCGGTTTCCAGCAAGGATATATTGTTTGTTTGTTTGTTGTTTAACGCCGCAAACAAAAATATATAATACGGTATGACGGCAGTCTGTAAATAATCGAGTCTAGACCAGACAATCTACTGATTGACATCATGAGCATCGATCCACGCAATTGGGATACGATGACATGCATGGACCAAGTCAGCGAGCCTGACCACCCGATCCCGTTAGTCGCCTCTTACGACAAGCACAGGTTGCTGACGACCTATTCTACCCCGGATCTTCGAGGGGCTTGTGATCAATTTGTGATATTTGAGACCATTTTGGGAAAATAAAATGACATGCTCTGTTACAGCAACTATGACTTCTCCTCGAGATGAATCCCGCGTCGATACGACTCTCCATGATGCCTGCAGGCTCGGGAACTTCGACAAGGTGAGACAACTTCTGTTTGAGGGTCGAGTTGACATCAACAGCAGACACCGCGGAAGGACACCGGTAATGAAGGCAGCGTACAAGGGGCATAAAGACGTGATGGACTTACTTGTGAGTAACGGCAGCGACGTGACACTGGTCGATGGAGACGGTAACAACATCCTTCACGTGGCTTGTTTGGGTGGGCATGTGAACATAGTGAAGTATGTCCTTAAGAAGGACTTTGTGGGCGTCAACAGCAGAGGACATGACGGAAGAACGCCATTGATGGTGGCAGCAAGGAATGGACATAAAGAGGTGTTTGACTTGCTTGTGAGAAAAGGATGTGATGTGTCACTTGTGGATGATGAGGGCAACAGCATCCTTCATCTGGCCTGTATCGGGCGGCACATGACGATAGTGAAAGACATCCTCTCACACGACATCGTGGACGTCAACAGTAGAGGGCAACGCGGAAGAACGCCACTGATGTTGGCAGCAATGAAGGGGCATAACGAAGTGTTTGATTTGCTTGTGAATAAAGGAAGTGTTGTGGCTTTAGTGGATGATGACGGTAACAACATACTTCATCTGGCATGTTTGGGAAGAAATGTGAAAATAGTGAATTTTGTCGTCTCCAAGAATATTGTGGACGTCAACAGTAGGGGAGAGGACGGGAGGACCCCGGTGATGCTGGCAGCAATGAATGGACACCGAGACGTCATGGACCTGCTTGTGAGTTCAGGTGGCAGTGTGGGACTGGAGGATAACCATGGTAACAACATCCTCCATGTGGCCTGTATTGGAGGACTGTTAGAGATGGTAAAGTATGTCCTCTCACATGACATTGCGGACATCAACAGTCGAGGACAGCGTGGGATGACCCCAGCCATGTTGGCATCATGTTTTGAACATGAAGACGTTTTTCACTTACTAGTGAGTAAAGGAGGTAGAAAGGATATGTAAGATTAAAGTGATACATGCTGACACAACAAGAGGTGATAAAATTTGTCCGACAATGACTCAAGGGTCTTCGACCATTGCCACAATATTGTGTGGTTCATCCAAGGTACATGATACCAACAGAGGACAGAACAGCAGGCTTGTATTGAGGGCGTGAACTGATGTGTGTGGTTCATCAAGGTACATGATACCAACAGAGGACAGACAAGTGGCTTGTATTGATGGCGTGAACTGATGTGTTTGGTTCATCCAAGGTATACACCAACAGAGGACAGAACAGCAGGCTTGTATTGAGGGCGTGAACTGATGTGTGTGGTTCATCAAGGTACATGATACCAACAGAGGACAGACAAGCGGCTTGTATTGATGGCGTGAACTGATGTGTGTGGTTCATCCAAGGTATACACCAACAGAGGACAGAACAGTGGCTTGTATTTATGGCGTGAACTGATGTGTGTGGTTCATCCAAGGTATACACCAACAGAGGACAGAACAGTGGCTTGTATTGATGGCGTGAACTGAGGTGTGTGTTGTTCATCCAAGGTATACACCAACAGAGGACAGAACAGTGGCTTGTATTGATGGCGTGAACTGATGTGTGTGGTTCATCAAGGTACATGATACCAACAGAGGACAGACAAGCGGCTTGTATTGATGGCGTGAACTGATGTGTGTGGTTCATCCAAGGTATACACCAACAGAGGACAGAACAGTGGCTTGTATTTATGGCGTGAACTGATGTGTGTGGTTCATCCAAGGTATATACCAACAGAGGACAGAACAGTGGCTTGTATTGATGGCGTGAACTGAGGTGTGTGTTGTTCATCCAAGGTATACACCAACAGAGGACAGAACAGTGGCTTGTATTGATGGTGTGAACTGATGTGTGTGGTTCATCCAAGGTATATACCAACAGAGGACAGAACAGTGGCTTGTATTGATGGTGTGAACTGATGTGTGTGGTTAATCCAAGGTATATACCAACAGAGGACAGAACAGTGGCTTGTATTGATGGCGTGAACTGATGTGTGTGGTTCATCCAAGGATATACCAACAGAGGACAGAACAGTGGCTTGTATTGATGGCATGAACTGATGTGTGTGGTTCATCCAAGGTATACACCAACAGAGGACAGAACAGTGGCATGTATTGATGGCGTGAACTGGTGTGTGTGGTTCATCCAAGGTACATGATACCAACATAGGACAGAACAGTGGCTTGTATTGATGGCGTGAACTGATGTGTGTGCTTCATCCAAGGTATATACCAACAGAGGACAGAACACTGGCTTGTATTGATGGCATGAACTGATGTGTGTGGTTCATCCAAGGTATACACCAACAGAGGACAGAACAGTGGCATGTATTGATGGCGTGAACTGGTGTGTGTGGTTCATCCAAGGAACATGATACCAACAGAGGACAGAACAGTGGCTTGTATTGATGGCGTGAACTGATGTGTGTGGTTCATCCAAGGTATATACCAACAGACGACAGAGCAGTGGCTTGTATTGATGACATGAACTGATGTGTGTGGTTCATCCAAGGTATACACCAACAGAGGACACAACAGTGGCTTGTATTGATGGCGTGAACTGATGTGTGTGATTCATCCAAGGAACATGATACCAACAGAGGACAGAACAGTGGCTTGTATTGATGGCATGAACTGATGTGTGTGGTTCATCCAAGGTATATACCAACAGAGGACAGAACAGCAGGCTTGTATTTATGACGTGAAGTGATGTGTGTGGTTCATCCAAGATACTTGATCCCAACATAGGACAGAACAGTGGCTTGTATTGATGGCATGAACTGATGTGTGTGGTTCATCCAAGGTACATGATGGCGTGAACATGAACAGCGGCTTGTATTGATGGCGTGAACTGATGTGTGTGGTTCATCCAAGGTATACACCAACAGAGGACAGAACAGCGGCTTGTATTGATGGCGTGAACTCATTTGTGTGCTTCATCCAAGGTACATGATACCAACAGAGGACAGAATAGTGGCTTGTATTGATGGCGTGAACTGATGTGTGTGCTTCATCCAAGGTATATACCAACAGAGGACAGAACACTGGCTTGTATTGATGGCGTGAACTGATGTGTTTGGTTTATCCAAGGTATACACCAACAGAGGACAGAGCAGTGGCTTGTATTGATGGCGTGAACTGATGTGTGTGGTTCATCCAAGGTATACACCAACAGAGGACAGAACACTTGCTTGTATTGATGGCATGAACTGATGTGTGTGGTTCATCCAAGGTATACACCAACAGACGACAGAACAGTGGCTTGTATTGATGGCATGAACTGATGTGTGTGGTTCATCCAAGGTATACACCAACAGAGGACAGAACACTTGCTTGTATTGATGGCGTGAACTGATGTGTGTGATTCATCCAAGGTATACACCAACAGAGGACAGAACAGTGGCTTGTATTGATGGCATGAACTGATGTGTGTGGTTCATCCAAGGTATACACCAACAGAGGACAGAACACTTGCTTGTATTGATGGCATGAACTGATGTGTGTGGTTCATCCAAGGTATATACCAACAGACGACAGAGCAGTGGCTTGTATTGATGGCGTGAACTGAGGTGTGTGTTGTTCATCCAAGGTATACACCAACAGAGCACAGAACAGTGGCTTGTATTGATGGCGTGAACTGATGTGTGTGATTCATCAAGGTACATGATACCAACAGAGGACAGAACAGCGGCTTGTATTGATGGCGTGAACTGATGTGTGTGGTTCATCCAAGGTATATACCAACAGAGGACAGAACAGCGCTTGTATTGATGGTGTGAACTGATGTGTGTGCTTCATCCAAGGTACATGATACCAACAGAGGACAGAACAGTGGCTTGTATTGATGGTGTGAACTGATGTGTGTGCTTCATCCAAGGTACATGATACCAACAGAGGACAGAACAGTGGCTTGTATTGATGGTGTGAACTGATGTGTGTGCTTCATCCAAGGTACATGATACCAACAGAGGACAGAACAGTGGCTTGTATTGATGGTGTGAACTGATGTGTGTGCTTCATCCAAGGTACATGATACCAACAGAGGACAGAACAGCGGCTTGTATTGATGGCGTGAACTGATGTGTGTGCTTCATCCAAGGTACATGATACCAACAGAGGACAGAACAGTGGCTTGTATTGATGGTGTGAACTGATGTGTGTGGTTCATCAAAGGTATAAACCAACAGAGGACAGAACAGCGGCTTGTATTGATGGCGTGAACTGATGGGTGTTCTTTATCCAAGGTACATGATACCAACAGAGTATAGACTAGTGGCTTGTATTGATGGTGTAAACTGATGTGTGTGGTTCATCCAAGGTTTCTGATACCAACAGAGTATAGACTAGTGGCTTGTATTGATGGTGTGAACTGATGTGTGTGGTTCATCCAAGGTTTCTGATACCAACAGAGTATAGACTAGTGGCTTGTATTGATGGTGTGAACTGATGTGTGTGGTTCATCCAAGGTTTCTGATACCAACAGAGTATAGACTAGTGGCTTGTATTGATGGTGTGAACTGATGTGTGTGCTTAATCCAAGGTATATACCAACAGAGGACAGAACAGTGGCTTGTATTGATGGTGTGAACTGATGTGTGTGGTTCATCCAAGGTACATGATACCCACAGAGGACAGACAATTGGCTTGTATTGATGGTGTGAACTGATGTGTGTGGTTCATCAAAGTTACATGATACTAACATAGGACAGAATGCACATCATACAATCTAGTTTTTGTTTGCTAGCAAGTCTTCAGAGATGCATGTTGGTGATTGACGTTTTGATTGTATATTTAAAATATTTAATTGTTCAATGCCATTGTAGCATTTTCTGGAAAATGGTTGAGCGTTCGTCAATAATTATGTTTTATAAATTAAGCAGATTCTGTACATGTGTGAAACTAGACCAGTGTATAAAAGCAGAGGAATTCCTTTGCTAATTGTGTCTTGCAGATTGCAGATTTACAATTTTGTTATCGTTGTGTTATTTCCATTTTCCTATTTTATTCATTTGTATTTTTCTATAAAATAACTGTATATATTCTTAGGTGTTTTTTGAGTCAGCTGTCAGTGGCAGCAAATTATTGAAACGCGAGTAAACTGTCGAAAGCTATACTAGCCACATAAAGAAACTGTGCACGGAGAAAATATATTCTGGATTGAAATACAACACAGCAAGAACAAAATGATGCAGACGCTGTAGCAGCTGAATGATCGGACCATAAGAAAATGTCAACGGGACCTGAACAACATCTGTTACGATGACGTCAGAAGATCAAAATGGAGTAGGGGGTCATACGACAAAGTCACAAAGTCAATAACGGGTATGACCACCCTGTGCGTGAATCACAGCAGTGCATCGGCGACGCATGGAGTCCACCAAATGGGCATGGAAGGCCTGGGGAATGGCCTGCCATATCCTCCTCAAATCCTGTGCCAAGTTACGGACGTTATCTGGAGGATGTGGAAGACGACGTAAACGGCGCTCCATTTTATCCCACACATGCTCTATTGGGGAGAGATCTGATGAAATGATGTTATGGTGAAGGAAATCCATTGCGACCCTAGCCGTGTGAGGACGAGCATTGTCCTGTTGAAATGTCAATCCCGGGCCATGACGTTGCAGGAAAGGAATGACCACAGGCCTCAGAATCTGATCTCTGTAGCCAGCACCGGTGAGATTGCCCTGAACAATCACCAAAGGGGTTCGGTGCCGTGCTGTTATCCCACCCCAAATCATCACAGAGCCACCTCCAAAACGATTCCTCTCCACAATACAGTTGCGTGCATACATGTGGCCAAATCGTCCCACTCATCTCGCCTCACCCATTGTGACTTTTGTTCATTGAAATGCCTTCATACTTGCATGCGTGTATCTGTCACGGTAATGGGGTCTGCTGGGACATACATATGGGAGAGACTAATCTTGTACGGTTTTCAAAATATGGATTTGGGTGGGGTTGGGGGCGGGCATGATAGGGGGAGGGGGTGTGGAGATGGGGTTTCTTCTGTGAAAGGAGTAGTCATAGAAATGATCAAGGCATCCAGCATGTCCGGAGGAGAAGAAACCGAGGTGTTTTTTGAGGAACAATGTCATTGTAATCGAATCCTGGTTACCTTCGTGATGTGCTACCGACGATACATGAAAACATCGAAGCTGGCCGCTTGGGAGAGGACCTGCAGTCAACATGGACGAGTTGAATGAAACGTCTGTAAAATCATCGCAGTTTTACCTGACTGAGACACGTCAGTAAACATTATCCATCGGTGAACACCAAAGTAGAATCCAAGTAGCGTTCTACCGCCTACTCCGATACAAAACAACCTACAGTCCAATATGTTAACATATTGTATGTCAAAACACCAGTTTGACTGTCGTATTGCTTGGGAGTATGCTGATAATGCTACCTACTTGTTTATTCTTAGCTCAAAAGGTCCTTGGGTCTGCATATTGATGTAACTTTATCAAATTCAAGTTCAAGATAACAGGTCCAGATAAAGTTGATCATGTTAAGGGAGACAACTTGGTCACATGATAATGTCATAGCGACTGATTTACGACAACCATTGTCTGAAGTACATTTGACTCCAAAGGCTAATTACCCTTGTAGCCATGACATGTATATGTCTCCATAACTTAATTGTCATTATTTATAAGACACTAATCCCCGTTGTTAATCCTCACCAACATTTCATTGTAATTTGACTGTCAGTCAGCCTGGACTACCATATCACTTACCGTTAACTACTGCTTTTTATAGTGTTGCATTTATTGCCTTAATTTATCATCCCATGAACTGTGTTGGTTAATCACGCCCATATGTCCAATGTCCAAAGCAACGTCGTTGTCTCTTTGTCTGTCCATTGTTGTTCATTACTATATATGTGTTACCATTACATGTGTATTGCGAGCATGGGGTAGGGACGACCTCGAGCAGGATGTGCAGCTCGTAGGAATGTCCTGATGTGAGCTCGAGCTCCGCTCACCTCTTGTACGCCTGAGCTGGAAGGTCCGCTCATCGCTGTGTTTGTGTTGTCAGAGCAGGTATTCCGCTCATTGTGCATTTGTTGTTTATTGTTTACACGTTGTGCATAAAGCGTTCCGGGACAGTGATGTCGATTTTGTCCTTTACTCCCCCAAGAGCTAATTCCCCGTCAACATGCGCGTTGACAATAACATCGACACGCATGATTCGGTGAATCTCAATTCATAGTTACATATTGCTCAGTGCTGTAGCTGCCATATTCCACTCACATCACGCCGTCAGTAAATAACCAGGACCAGACAAACCAGTGATTGAAAGCATGAGCAACACCACGCTATCATCTGTCGTGGCCACGCGGGGTCCTAAAGATTTATGTTTGTTCGTTGTATAACGCCACACTAAACACTATGACGACGGTCTGGTAATAATCAAGCCTGCACCAGACAATCCAGTGATGGATATCAAGAGCATCGATCTACATCATTCGGATACGATAACGCGCATCAATCACGTGATCGAGCAGATCCAGTAGTCGCATCTTACGACAAGCACAGGCTATTGCAGACCGGCTCTTACCCCGGTCTTCACTTGGGGAGACAGGCATGGATTGTTGAAGACCAATGATTACCTGGATCTTCACGGGGGCAGATAAAATAATGAACAAACACAACCCATTGAGAAAATATGGAAACCCTTTACTTATTTACAGTACAAAAATTAACAACATAATGTAAAAAATATATTTGGAATATATTCTGCATAATGGATAGTCGTAATTTAATATACACACAACCCCTTGCCATATAAGGTAGTTAGACTCCAGTGCTAAATAATGCTGTTGGGTGAATTTTTTCAAAGTCTCAATATCAGATATGTTACTAAGATACGATAACTATCTGCCAAAGATGTGAAGACACCGCCATGTCTTCCCTATCCTTATATGGCACTGGTCGGCGTTGATTGGATGGTGTACACACATATATCACAGATACCGCGGGATCTTACGTCGACACAAGTCGACAACAGCGGATACAGGGAACACAGTGGAGCCACAGGGGCGGTCGGGTAGCCTAGTGGTTAAAGCTTTCGCTCGTCACGCCGAAGACCCAGGTTCGATTCCCGACATGGGTACAATGTGTGAAGCCCATTTCTGGTGTCCCCCGCCATGATATTGCCGGAATATTGCTAAAAGCGGCGTAAAACCATACTCACTCACTCACTCACTCACTCACTCAGTGGAGCCACACTTGGAATGTGGCAGGACATTTATCGATAAACCACGACACATGTATATACACGTGATGTTCGTTGTTTAACGCTGCATTCAGCAATATTCCAATATGACGGCGGCCTGTAAATAATCGAGTCCGGACCAGACAATCAGTGATTGATATTGTGAGCATCGCTCCACGCAACTGAGAAATGGTGACATGCATGAGCTAAGCCAGCGAGCGTGATCACCCGATCCCGTTAGTCGTCTCTGACAAGCATGGGTTACTTGAAAACCAGTCCAACCCGGATCTTCACGGGTTGGGTAACATGTACAATTGTATGTAACTAATTTCAAAATCAATACCCATGTCATGCACACATGTATCGTTTTTTATCAATACTGCACAATTTCAGTGGTCGCTTTTTCAAAACTATTACAGTTTAAAATGTTAAGATCTAAAAGAAATATTGCGTGGAGCCTTCTGCCTCGTTACTATTTATGTGAGCAAAGATCGGACATCATGAATGTAACGGAAATAGCTGTTACATCCGGGTTTGACCGCACGTGCGATGGATAGACGGGAAAACCATTCGTCACCACTCGTCCCTTTCCGTAACCTGCAAGAAGACTCGTCCCCCTGTCGATGAATGTTATGTGCGAAAATACGACAAACCAATCAGAATGCGCGTATGATTTCAAGTTCTTCGTCAAAGAATCCCTCAGAAATGATTTTTGGTTTTACATATGTCTTGCACCTAAAAATATACCCAAGACCCAATTAAATGTGTTCAATCTCACTGTATAACTCCGCATTTCCCGATGTGCTTTAAATTGCATCTGAAATATATATTATACGTGGGAAATATATGTGAACCATCACGCAACGAGTTGACAACTGTTTTAGGTACGCCCGTTTGCGCTAAGACGGAACCCGGTCGCAAAAATGGTCACGAGAGGGACACGAGTCGCTATTCGGCTTGTCCCGGAATAACACGAGTTGGTCACGAGCGGGGAAACACACCCGTGTTGATTGATCATATAATACTTGTGTTCACTCTCAATTATTGCAAAGCTATATTGTCAATATATATTGTCAGAAACAACTGAGGTAACAATCATCAACAGAATAATACAGGCGATTTACAAGTATAGCTTTACTGTCTTAAGTCCTGGGACAAATCCACGCACGCTGAAATATGACCCGTTACATGGCCGCACTATAACGGGGAAAAGCTGTCAACTATCACTATAGCGGAGACACTCTGTGGACAGTCCGGCCATCTGCTGCAAGAGCGTCAGGCAGCTATCATGCGCCAACACGACTTCAAAAGAGCTTCTTGAAGCAATGTTTTGTCAACAACAAACACATCTCATAACGTCTCAGCCGGGCCTCTATCTGGATAGTATAGTTTTGTTTGTTTGCTTGTTGTTTAACGCCGCACTCAGCAATGTTCCAGCTATATGACGGCGGTCTGTAAATAATCGATCCTGGGTGAGACAATCCAGTGATTGATATCATGAGCACCGATCCACCCGAAGGGATACGATGACCCGCATTCAACCAAGTCACCGAGTCTGACCCAATCTCATTAAAATCAGATTTTAGTTTTCGCTACCGCTAAACAAAGATCTGAGGACATCCCATTACGGGTCACGTCAGAACGACCTTTCGCGAACTGACAATAAATCGACATTAGCCAATCAGAAGGCAGTTTTCTCGAGCTTGACGACACTAGTTTCCAACTGGCGACTACGCTTCGAAACATATTTTGACGTATTCTCGGTTAAAATAAATAAAACTGATAAGAAGATCATTCTGGAATGGCTTATAGATGGCCTGGATTGTATGGATATAATCATAAAACGCGTAACTGTCGTTCGGAATACCCCGTGTTAATAAATGCATGATTAAAAAACACATTCCGACTGTCACTTTCATGATCTAGTAAGCGACGCTCTGATTGGTTGGATGAAAGGTCGTTCTGACGTGACCCTTAATGGGATGTCCTCAGATCTTTGTTTAGCGATAGCGAGAACTAAGATCAGATTTGAATGAGATTGAGTCTGACCACTCGATCCATTTGGTCACTTCTTACGACCAGCATAGGTTGCTGGGGAAGTATTCCAACCCGAATCCCGGAACCCTCTAAAGTCGACGGTCATTCAAAAGTAAAACAAAACAATTAACAAGCGTAGACATTCTGAGTACTGGTTGGACTGGATCCGTATTCAGATCGATACTGAATGCTGAAACGTTGATGAAGTAAAGAACACGATGAAGCTGTTGTTCACGATGATGTCGATGATGTTGGTGATGCCGCAGCTGTATCAGTAGTCATAATCATAATCATCGTTCTTTTTCTTCTCCTTACAACAGACTATACAAGCCAAGATGATCATCAGGAGCTGCGGAGGAAAACAGAGAGTGAGTGAGTGAGTGGGTGGGTGAGTCGGTGGGTGGGTGAGTGAGTGAGTGTGTCGGTGGGTGAGTGAGTGAGTGAGTGAGTGAGTGAGTCAGTGAGTGAGTCAGTGAGTCAGTGAGTGAGTGAGTGGGTGAGTCGGTGAGTGAGTGAGTGAGTGAGTCAGTGAGTGAGTGAGTGAGTGAGTCAGTGAGTGAGTGAGTCAGTCAGTGAGTGAGTGAGTGAGTCAGTGAGTGAGTCGGTGAGTGAGTGAGTGAGTGAGTGAGTGAGTCAGTGAGTGAGTGAGTGAGTCGGTGAGTGAGTGAGTGAGTGAGTCAGTGGGTGAGTGAGTGAGTGAGTGAATGAGTAAGTGAGTGAGTGAGTGAGTGAGTGAGTGAGTGAGTGAGTGGGAGGGTGAGTGAGTGAGTGAGTGAATGAGTGAGTGGGAGGGTGGGAGGGTGGATGGATAGGTGGTTGAGTGAGTGAGTGAGTGAGTGAGTTAGTGAGGTGAAATGGGGTTGAACGTCGCGTCCAAGATTATTGCACTTATGTAGCGACGTGCATGTACGTGTGCATGTGTGTGGCTGCTTGTACAAGTCCGGACTGATGCCGATTTATAGTGCTAGCTCACTGAGATACCATGCCGCAGTTTAACATAAATACCCCACTCAGAAAAAGTATACTGACTCATAGCCGACCAGTCCTTGTTTTTGCCTGACAGGGTAACAACAAGTACCATTTATAACGTATCTACCACTAGACCATGGAGGTGTGAGTGAGTGAGTGAGTGAGTGAGGTGAAATGGGGTTGAACGTCGCGTCCAAGATTATTGCACTTATGTAGCGACGTGCATGTACGTGTGTGTGTGTGTGGCTGCCTGTAATGGTCCGGACTGATGCCGATTCATAGTGCTAGCTCACTGAGATACCATGCCGCAGTTTAACATGGATACCCCACTCAGTCACAGTATACTGACTCAGAGCCGACCATTCCTTGTTGTAGCCAGACAGGGTAACAACAAGTACCATTTTTAACGTCTCTACCACTAGACCATGGAGGTGTGAGTGAGTGAGTGAGTGAGTGAGTGAGTGAGGTGAAATGGGGTTGAACGTCGCGTCCAAGATTATTGCACTTATGTAGCGACGTGCATGTACGTGTGTGTGTGTGTGGCTGCCTGTAATGGTCCGGACTGATGCCGATTTATAGTGCTAGCTCACTGAGATACCATGCCGCAGTTTAACATGGATACCCCACTCAGACACAGTATACTGACTCAGAGCCGACCATTCCTTGTTGTAGCCAGACAGGGTAACAACAAGTACCATTTTTAACGTCTCTACCACTAGACCATGGAGGTGTGAGTGAGTGAGTCAGTCAGTCAGTCAGTCAGTCAGTCAGTCAGTGAGTCAGTGAGTGAGTGAGTGAGTGAGTGAGTGAGTGAGTCAGTGAGTGAGTGAGTCAGTGAGTGAGTGAGTCAGTGAGTCAGTCAGTGAGTGAGTCAGTCAGTGAGTGAGTCAGTCAGTGAGTGAGTCAGGGAGTCAGTGAGTGAGTGAGTGAGGGCGTCTTAGCGCGACTTTGAACAGTAATTCAGTATTATCACAGCCTGTCAGCTTGATGATGGAAGACATGGAGACATTTTCCACCCGCATGTATGGTGCTGGCTAATCAGGAAGGGATCATTATTATGTGTACACTCATAAATAATAATAATAATAATAATAATAATAATAATAATAATAATAATAATAATATAAAAGAGGGTGAATCAGGGATTCGAACCCATGATCGAGGCACACAAAGGGACGTAACTCGTGACAGTTCTTGCACAGCACAAAATGAGGATTGGATGGGTAGAATATGTGACATTGGCCTTGGCCTTGGGATCTTAGCGCCACCGTTATGGTAACGCATGTATTTCAGGTTGAACTTAAATACTTTAACACTCATAGTCATGGATCTGACAACCCCATGTCGTCCGTCTACCACCCGTCTGCCTGACCCAGATTCGAACATAGACAGGCCACCGTGATGCATATGACATAGTGCTCAATGCGGCGTTTAACATCATTCATTCATGCACTCAATGTATGATGCAACAGTAGCTTCAAATGCGCAACATTGAATATTGAGTATAGCTCAACAGGTGTAATTATAGAGGGACGTGATTGTAATTTGAAACCTCTGAATAAACAATACACATTTCTAACTTACCTCCACCACAACCACTCCCGCTCCAACGCCGATCATGATGTTGCTGTTGTCGTTGATGATGTCCCAGATAGCCTGGTAGCATCCCTAGGGGACAAGTAAAGTGATGATGTGAGCAGAAGGTCAGGGATCAGGGCATCGTGTGTGTAAGGTGAACGTGGGTACCGACTATGACCTGAGTCAGTGAGTTGGGTTTAACGCCACTTTTAACATTATTCCAGTTATATCGCGGTGTGTCAGCTTAAGAATTGGAGAAAACACGCTTACGAGGTTTTGGTAGACAGAGCGAAGCCCCCTGCGATTTTCCCGACCCCCAGGGCATGCTCTGTCTACCAAAACCGAGGGAAAGTGTTATTCCAAGTTATAAACCGAAAAAAGAAACTTAAAACAACATTTATCAACATTTTTATGTTTCGAACATACTTTCCATGAACCTTAGGAAACGCGCGTAAAATATCTGTTGCTGGCGTACGGATCTTGAAAAGGACATTCTAAAAACCAGTGTGGCTCATCAACACCTCTGTAGCCTCGTGGTACACTCACTGGGCTACAGATATGAAGGTTGCGAGTTCGATCCTCGGGAATAAAAATAAAACATTTGTCGTTTAATTTTACATTACATTACATCTTACAATCTGAGCGGAAGTTACATTAATAAAATACCCAGGACATAATATAAAATCCCTGGGATATTGCAGCAAATATGACTTTAATATCCTATAAAATCACAGGGACATTACAACGTCCATGTGTATGAGATTTAACCCGACTGGAAAGTGAAAACTCATAATAGGTTTTAATGCCTGTAGAAAGAAGGCTCTTACTTAATAGCGATCCCAATGAATAGGTTTATAATGTGGAAGGAAAGACCGAAGAGATGCAGGTCTCAGACGTTTACCACTTCAGTGACACCCACAAGCAGGGGTATGGTGCTGACACACCTAGAAACATAATCAGGGAGAACTGGGATACTGGGATACGAACCCACAATCATAGGTTTCTGGCAGGTCCATGGGACGCAACTCTGCACAGCGAATCGCGGCGCCTTATACGACTGGGCCATGTAGGATACTAATACCTTGTCTATGTAGGAGAGGGTTGTTACTCTACCTTGTCTATGTAGGAGAGGGTTGTTACACTACCTTGTCTGTGTAGGAGAAGGTTGTTACACTACCTTGTCTATGTAGGGGAGGGTTGTTACGCTACCTTGTCTATGTAGGAGAGGGTTGTTACACTACCTTGTCTATGTAGGAGAGGGTTGTTACACTACCTTGTCTATGTAGGAGAGGGTTGTTACACTACCTTGTCTATGTAGGAATGGGTTTTTACACTACCATGTCCATGTAGGAGAGGGTTGTTACTCTTCCTTGTCTATGTAGGAGAGGGTTGTTACACTACCTTGTCTATGTAGGGGAGGGTTGTTACTCTTCCTTGTCTATGTAGGAGAGGGTTGTTACACTACCTTGTCTATGTAGGAGAGGGTTGTTACTCTTCCTTGTCTATGTAGGAGAGGGTTGTTACACTACCTTGTCTATGTAGGGGAGGGTTGTTACACTACCTTGTCCATGTAGGAGAGGGTTGTTACACTACCTTGTCTATGTAGGAGAGGGTTGTTACACTACTTTGTCTATGTAGGAGAGGGTTGTTACACTACCTTGTCTATGTAGGGGAGGGTTGTTACACTACCTTGTCTATGTAGGGAAGGGTTGTTACACTACCTTGTCTATGTAGGAGAGGGTTGTTACACTACCTTCTCTATGTAGGGGAGGGTTGTTACACTACCTTGTCTATGTAGGGGAGGGTTGTTACACTACCTTGTCTATGTAGGAGAGGGTTGTTACACTACTTTGTCTATGTAGGAGAGGGTTGTTACACTACCTTGTCTATGTTGGGGAGGGTTGTTACACTACCTTGACTATGTAGGAGAGGGTTGTTACACTACTTTGTCTATGTAGGAGAGGGTTGTTACACTACCTTGTCTATGTAGGGGAGGGTTGTTACACTACCTTGTCTATGTAGGAGAGGGTTGTTACACTGCCTTGTCTATGTAGGAGAGGGTTGTTACACTACCTTGTCTATGTAGGAGAGGGTTGTTACACTACCTTGTCTATGTAGGAGAGGGTTGTTACACTACCTTGTCTATGTAGGAGAGGGTTGTTACACTACCTTGTCTATGTAGGAGATGGTTGTTACACTACCTTGTCTATGTAGGAGAGGGTTGTTACACTACCTTGTGTATATAGGAGAGGGTTGTTACACTACTTTGTCTATGTAGGAGAAGGTTGTTACACTACCTTGTCTATGTAGGAGAGGGTTGTTACACTACCTTGTCTATGTTGGAGAGGGTTGTTACACTGCCTTGTCTATGTTGGAGAGGGTTGTTACACTACCTTGTCTTTGTTGGAGAGGGTTATTACACTACCTTGTCTATGTAGGAGAGGGTTGTTACACTACCTTGTCTATGCAGGAGAGGGTTGTTACACTACCTTGTCTATGTTGGAGAGGGTTGTTACACTACCTTGTCTATGTTGGAGAGGGTTGTTACACTACCTTGTCTATGTAGGAGAGGGTTGTTACACTACCTTGTCTATGTAGGAGAGGGTTGTTACACTACCTTGTCTATGTAGGAGAGGGTTGTTACACTACCTTGTCTGTGTAGGAGAGGGTTGTTACACTGCCTTGTCTGTGTAGGAGAGGGTTGTTACACTACCTTGTCTATGTAGGAGAGGGTTGTTACACTACCTTGTCTATGTAGGGGAGGGTTGTTACACTACCTTGTCTGTGTAGGAGAGGGTTGTTACACTACCTTGTCTATGTAGGAGAGGGTTGTTACACTACCTTGTCTATGTAGGAGAGGGTTGTTACACTACCTTGTCTGTGTAGGAGAGGGTTGTTACACTGCCTTGTCTGTGTAGGAGAGGGTTGTTACACTACCTTGTCCATGTAGGAGAGGGTTGTTACACTACCTTGTCTATGTTGGAGAGGGTTGTTACACTACCTTGTCTATGTAGGAGAGGGTTGTTACACTGCCTTGTCTGTGTAGGAGAGGGTTGTTACACTACCTTGTCCATGTAGGAGAGGGTTGTTACACTACCTTGTCTATGTTGGAGAGGGTTGTTACACTACCTTGTCTATGTTGGAGAGGGTTGTTACACTACCTTGTCTATGTTGGAGAGGGTTATTACACTACCTTGTCTATGTAGGAGAGGGTTGTTACACTACCTTGTCTATGTTGGAGAGGGTTGTTACACTGCCTTGTCTATGTTGGAGAGGGTTGTTACACTACCTTGTCTTTGTTGGAGAGGGTTATTACACTACCTTGTCTATGTAGGAGAGGGTTGTTACACTACCTTGTCTATGCAGGAGAGGGTTGTTACACTACCTTGTCTATGTTGGAGAGGGTTGTTACACTACCTTGTCTATGTTGGAGAGGGTTGTTACACTACCTTGTCTATGTAGGAGAGGGTTGTTACACTACCTTGTCTATGTAGGAGAGGGTTGTTACACTACCTTGTCTATGTAGGAGAGGGTTGTTACACTACCTTGTCTGTGTAGGAGAGGGTTGTTACACTGCCTTGTCTGTGTAGGAGAGGGTTGTTACACTACCTTGTCTATGTAGGAGAGGGTTGTTACACTACCTTGTCTATGTAGGGGAGGGTTGTTACACTACCTTGTCTGTGTAGGAGAGGGTTGTTACACTACCTTGTCTATGTAGGAGAGGGTTGTTACACTACCTTGTCTATGTAGGAGAGGGTTGTTACACTACCTTGTCTGTGTAGGAGAGGGTTGTTACACTGCCTTGTCTGTGTAGGAGAGGGTTGTTACACTACCTTGTCCATGTAGGAGAGGGTTGTTACACTACCTTGTCTATGTTGGAGAGGGTTGTTACACTACCTTGTCTATGTAGGAGAGGGTTGTTACACTGCCTTGTCTGTGTAGGAGAGGGTTGTTACACTACCTTGTCCATGTAGGAGAGGGTTGTTACACTACCTTGTCTATGTTGGAGAGGGTTGTTACACTACCTTGTCTATGTTGGAGAGGGTTGTTACACTACCTTGTCTATGTTGGAGAGGGTTATTACACTACCTTGTCTATGTAGGAGAGGGTTGTTACACTACCTTGTCTATGCAGGAGAGGGTTGTTACACTACCTTGTCTATGTTGGAGAGGGTTGTTACTCTACCTTGTCTATGTAGGAGAGGGTTGTTACACTACCTTGTCTATGTAGGAGAGGGTTGTTACACTACCTTGTCTGTGTAGGAGAGGGTTGTTACACTGCCTTGTCTGTGTAGGAGAGGGTTGTTACACTACCTTGTCTATGTAGGAGAGGGTTGTTACACTACCTTGTCCGTGTAGGGGAGGGTTGTTACACTACCTTGTCTGTGTAGGAGAGGGTTGTTACACTACCTTGTCTGTGTAGGAGAGGGTTGTTACACTACCTTGTCTATGTAGGAGAGGGTTGTTACACTACCTTGTCTATGTAGGAGAGGGTTGTTACACTACCTTGTCTATGTTGGAGAGGGCTGATGTTGGGTCCGTGGCACATGTGAATTCTGTCGGCAGATTTATGTTGGGGAAGGATCCATTGAGTTTGCAGCAGGCAATGGGGACTGCTAGGGTGATGCTCATGTTGGTTTGCTTCGGTGTATATTCATTTATCCACTTCGTCGCATCCTGAAACTCTGTGTAGTTGTCTACACCACAGCATTTAAACTGAAATACAAAGAAACAGGATGTGAACTACACATACACACAGACAGAGTGAACTATACACACAAACAGGGTGAACTATACACACAAACATTGGTGAGTGAGTGAGTTTGGTTTTACGACCCTTTTAGCAATATTCCAGCAATATCACGGCGGGAGACACCAGAAATGGGCTTCACACATTGTACCCATGTCGGGTTTTCGGCATTACGAGCGAACGCATTAACCACTAGGCTACCCGACTGCCCCCAAACATTGGTGAACTATACACACAAACAGGGTGAGCTATACACACGAATATGGGTGAACAATACACACAAACATTAGTGAACTATACACACACACATTGGTGAACTATACACGCAAACATGGGTGAACTATACACACAAATATGGGTGAACTATACACACACACATGGGTGAACTATACACACAAACAGGGTGAGCTGTACACACAAACATGGGTGAAATATACATACAAACATGGGTGAACTATACAGACAAACATGAGAGAACTATACACACAAACATGGGTGAACTATACACAGACATGGGTGAACTATACACACAAACATGTGTGAACTACACACACAAACATTGGTGAACTATACAGACAAACATGGGTGAACTTTACACGCAAACATGGGTGAACTATACACACAAACATGGGTGAACTATACAGACAAACATGGGAGAACTATACAGCCAAACATGGGTGAACTATACACACAAACATGGGAGAACTATACAGACAAACATGGGAGAACTATACAGACAAACATGGGAGAACTATACAGCCAAACATGGGTGAAATATACAGACAAACATGGGTGAACTATACACACAAACATGGGTGAACTATACACACAAACATGGGTGAACTATACACACAAACATGTGTGAACTACACACACAAACATGGGTGAACTATACACACAAACATGTGTGAACTACACACACAAACATGGGTGAACTATACACACAAACATGTGTGAACTACACACACAAACATTGGTGAACTATACAGACAAACATGGGTGAACTTTACACGCAAACATGGGTGAACTATACACACAAACATGGGTGAACTATACAGACAAACATGGGAGAACTATACAGCCAAACATGGGTGAACTATACACACAAACATGGGAGAACTATACAGACAAACATGGGAGAACTATACAGACAAACATGGGAGAACTATACAGCCAAACATGGGTGAAATATACAGACAAACATGGGTGAACTATACACACAAACATGGGTGAACTATACACACAAACATGGGTGAACTATACAGACAAACATGGGTGAACTATACAAGCAAACATTGGTGAACTATGCACACAAACATGGGTGAACTATACACACAAACATGGGTGAACTATACACACAAACATGGGTGAAATATACAAGCAAACATTGGTGAACTATACACACAAACATGGGTGAACTATACAGACAAACATTGGAGAACTATACACACAAACATGGGTGAACTATACACACAAACATGGGTGAACTATACACACAAATGTGAGTGAACTATACACACAAACATGGGTGAACTATACACACAAATGTGAGTGAACTATACACACAAACATGGGTGAACTATACACACAATCATGGGTGAACTACACGCACAAATGTGAGTGAACTATACACACAAACATGGGTGAACTATACACACAAACATGGGTGAACTATACAGACAAACATGGGTGAACTACACACACAAACATGGGTGAACTACACACACAAATGTGAGTGAACTATACACATAAGTATGGTTGAACTAAACACCCAAATATGGTCGAACTACACACACAAACATGGGTGAACTACACACACAAATATTGGTGAACTATACACACAAATATGGGTGAACTACACACACAAACATTGGTGAACTACACACACAAATATTGGTGAACTATACACGCAAATATGGGTGAACTATACACACAAACATGGGTGAACTATACACAAAAACATGGGTGAACTATATACACAAACATGCTATGAACTGTACAATCAAACATATAGTATTGTGTAGTGCTGTAATATAGTCATGTTGTAAAGTGTTTTAGTATTGTATAGTGGTATAGTGGTGTAGTATAGTGTAGTGGTATAGTGGTATAGTATAGTGTAGTGGTATAGTGGTGTAGTATAGTGTAGGGGTACAGTGGTGTATTATAGTGTAGTGGTATAGTGGTGTATTATAGTGTAGTGGTATAGAGGTGTAGTATAGTGTAGTGGTATAGTGGTGTAGTATAGTGTAGTGGTATAGTGGTGTAGTATAGTGTAGTGGTATAGTGGTGTAGTATAGTGTAGTGGTATAGTGGTGTAGTATAGTGTAGTGGAATAATGGTGTGGTATAGTGTAGTGGTAATGTGGTGTAGTATAGTGTAGTGGTATTGTGGTGTTGTATAGTGTAGTTGTATAGTGGTCTAGTATAGTGTAGTGGTATAGTGATTTAGTATAGTGTAGTGGTATAGTTGTTTAGTATAGTGATGTAGTGTACAGATTAAGCATAGAGCAGAAACATATTTATGAAAAGTGCTGTATTAGAGTGTTGTAGTATAGTGTTGTAATCTAATGATGTAGTAGTGATTATAGTGTAATAATAGTGTAGATTATAGTATACTGATGTAGTATATTGTTGTATAGTGATGTAATATAGTGATATAGTATATTGATGTGTGCTGCTGTAGTATAGTGATGTAGTGTGTTGCTGTACAGTCCTGTTATACAACAGGGCTGTTGGGTACTCACATTGACCATGGAGTATAGTGACACAGTATATTGATGTGTGCTGCTGTATTATAGTGATGTAGTGTGTTGCTGTACAGTCCTGTAATACAACAGGGCCGTTGGGTACTCACATTGACCATGGAGTATAGTGACACAGTATATTGATGTGTGCTGCTGTATTATAGTGATGTAGTGTGTTGCTGTACAGTCCTGTAATACAACAGGGCCGTTGGGTACTCACATTGACCATGGAGTATAGTGACACAGTATATTGATGTGTGCTGCTGTATTATAGTGATGTAGTGTGTTGCTGTACAGTCCTGTAATACAACAGGGCTGTTGGGTACTCACATTGACCATGGAGTATAGTGATACAGTATACTGATGTGTGCTGCTGTATTATAGCGATGTAGTGTGTTGCTGTACAGTCCTGTAATACAACAGGGCCGTTGGGTACTCACATTGACCATGGCAAAGTTCCAGCCGAGAGACACCAGGTCCGTGCTGTTGAAGCCGGTGTAACTCTCCTCGATTGATGTCTTCATGGGACCTTTGATGTTGTTGTCCACCTGTGTGAAAGAAGACTTAGTGGTATTTTCAAGTTGAAAAGAGTTTAAAAGACGGAAGGCTTAATGCATGCCTGATCGAACAACCCGATTCACCAGAGGTCAACTGAGGTCAAGTTCCGTCAGGCTGGCTTAAACAACCCATATTGGGATACATGCATGACTAACGCCTACCGTCCATGCAGGTAGCAAAGGCACTGTAAGTCCCCATGGTCCCTGGTATGGTGATCACCCTTCAGTGACTGACGATCTCTAGCCCATTTTTATAGTGTGTTGTTCTCTAATACTTACTGCTTTTTAATATTCTCAACTAGTTTTAAATCAAATCTGTGATATTCTAGTTATTGTACTGTCCATCGTTGACAGGTTTTTATTTAATCTAAATATATGTTTCATTAATGTATAACTTCTCGTCACGATATGGCTGAAATACTGCCGATGTGACGTTAAATTTTAACTCACTCACTCACTCATCCTAACGGCTACCAACCGCTTATGTTTGTTTGTCTGTTTGTTTGTTTGTTTCTTGTTTAACACCGCACTCAGTAATACTACAGCTATATGACGGCGGTCTATAAATAATCGAGTCTGGACCAGACAACCCAGTGATTGACATCATGAGCATCCGTGTACGCAATTGGGACTACCCAATCCCGTTAGTCGCTTCTTACAACAAGCATGGGTTGCCGATGACCTATTCTACCCCAGATCTTCACAGGGGACAAGCATGGGTTGCTGAATACCTATTCTATCCCAGATCTTCACGGGGGACAAACATGGGTTGCTGAATACCTATTCTACCCCAGATCTTCACAGGGGACAAGCATGGGTTGCTGAATACCTATTCTACCCCAGATCTTCACGGGGGACAAACATGGGTTGCTGAATACCTATTCTACCCCAGATCTTCACAGGGGACAAGCATGGGTTGCTGAATACCTATTCTACCCCAGATCTTCACGGAGGACATACCTGGGTTACTGATGACCTATTCTACCCCAGACCTTCACGGGGGACAAGCATTGGTTGCTGAATACCTATTCTACCCGAGATCTTCACGGAGGACATACCTGGGTTGCTGATGACCTATTCTACCCCAGATCTTCATGGGGGACAAGAATGGGTTGCTGACGGTTCAACCACCCATGGAATGAGGATGGATTTAATACCGCTGTGAAGGTCGAATCAGTAATAGAAAGCCTCTCGGATCAAGTAACCAGGGGCATTTAAAGGGACGGGAGTCTTACAGGGGAACCAGTCTTGGTATAGGGATGATGAAACCGGTTATTATCGAACTGACGACGAGCTGCATTCGTGACCAACTCGTGTTATTCCGGGACAAGCCGAATAGCGACTCGTGCCCCTCTCGTGGCCATTTTTGCGACCGGGTTCCGTCTTAGCGCAAACGGGCATACCTAAAACAATTGGCAATTCGTTGCGTAATGGTTCACATATGTTTCCCCATATATCATATATATTTCAGATGCAATTTAAAGCACATCGGGACTTGCGGAATTATACAGTATAATTGAACACATTTAACTGTGTCTTGGGAATGTTTTTAGATGCAAGAAATATGTAAAATCAAAAATTATTTCTGAGGGATTCTTTGACGAAGTACTTGAAATCATACGCGCATTCTGATTTGTTTGTCTTATTTTCGCACATAACATTCATCGATAGGGGGACGAGTCTTCTTGCAGGTTACGGAAAGGGGCGAGTGGTGACGAATGCATTCATCGATAGGGGGGACGAGTCTTCTTGCAGGTTACGGAAAGGGCCGAGTGGTGACGAAGGGACGAGCTGAGGCAACAAGGGAAGCAACTCGTGGAACGTACCGTATCTCTGATGGTGAAGAGCAGAATGACAAACAGCACCTCTGCCAGGACTATCAGGCTGATCAGCACAGCGTACTGGAAACAGAGCAAGGCGTGACATGGAAGTACACTACACCGATTCTACACACAAACACACAGGTAACCGTGATCATAAACATACTGATCAAACTCTGCTGTGATAGGCCACGCCTCAACATCCTTTCTTATTCTTGGAACCTGAGACCATAAACCAAACATATACAGTGTGTTTGTTTGTTTGTTTCACGCCGCACTCGGCATTATTTCAGCTGTTTGAAATCTATCAGTCTGTAAAAAATCAAGTCTGGACCAGACAATCCATGGATTGGCATCATGAACATCGATCTACGCACTTGGGATACGATGACATGCATCAGCAAAGTCAGCAGCCTGACCACCCTATCCCGTTAGTCACCTCTTATGACAAGCATGGGATGCTGAAGACCTATTCTACCCCGGTTTCCAGCTATATGACGGCGGTCTGCCAATACTCGAAACTGAACCGGGCAATCCAGTGATTGGCATCATGAACATCGATCCACGAGACTGGGATGCATGACATGCATCAAACAAGTCAGCGAGTCTGACCACCCGATTATGTTAGTCGCCTCTTAAGGCTGACATGGGTTCCTGAGGACCAATTCTAAACAGGATCTTCACGGGTTACAGACAGTGTACTTACCAAATGGCGTTCTTTCGATCAACTCACCACTTTCTACATACACGCATCAAACACGTATCAACTAACTACTACAAACATACATGCATCACACATCACCTCACCACAGCCAACATATACGCATCCCACCTCAACTCACCACTGCCAACATACACAAATCCTACATCAACTCACCACTGCCAACATACACACATCCCACATCAACTCACCACTATCAACACACACACATCCCACATCAACTCACCACTATCAACACACACACATCCCACCTCAACTCACTGCTGCCAACATACACGCATTAACTCACCACTACCAACATATACACATATCATATCAACTCACCGCTACCGACATACACTTATCCAACATCAACTCACCGCTACCAACATACACACATCCCACATCAACTCACCACCACCAACATACACACATCCCACATCAACTCACCACTACCAACATACACACATCCCACATCAACTCACCAACACCAACATACACACATCCCACATCAACTCACCACTACCAACATACACACATCCCACATCAACTCACCACTACCAACATACACACATCCCACATCAACTCACCACTGCCAACATACACACCCCTTAACTCACCACTACCAACATACACACCCCTTAACTCACCACTACCAACATACACACATCCCACATCAACTCACCAACACCAACATACACACCCCTTAACTCGCCACTACCAACATACACACATCCCACATCAACTCACCGCTACCAACATACACACCCCTTAACTCACCACTACCAACATACACACATCCCACATCAACTCACCACTACCAACATACACACATCCCACCTCAACTCACCACTGCCACCATACACACATCCAACATCAACTCACCACTACCAACATACACACATCCCACATCAACTCACCAACACCAACATACACACATCAACTCACCACTATCAACACACACACATCCCACATCAACTCACCACTATCAACACACACACATCCCACCTCAACTCACTACTGCCAACATACACGCATTAACTCACCACTACCAACATATACACATACCATATCAACTCACCGCTACCAACATACACTTATCCAACATCAACTCACCGCTACCAACATACACACATCCCACATCACCTCACCACTACCAACATACACACCCCTTAACTCACCACTACCAACATACACACATCCCACATCAACTCACCAACACCAACATACACACCCCTTAACTCACCACTACCAACATACACACATCCCACATCAACTCACCGCCACCAACATACACACATCCCACATCAACTCACCACCACAAACATACACACATCCCACATCAACTCACGCCACCAACATACACACATCCCACATCAACTCACTGCCACCAACATACACACATCCCACATCAACTCACCGCCACCAACATACACACATCCTTTATCAACTCACCGCCACCAACATACACACATCCCACATCAACTCACCGCCACCAACATAGACACATCCCACATTAACACACCACTACCAACATACACACATCCCACATCAACTTACCACTATCAACATACACACATCCCACCTGATCAACTCACCACTATCAACACACACACATCCCACATCAACTCACCACTATCAACATAAACACATCCCACATCAACTCACCGCTACCAACATACACACCCCTTAACTCACCACTACCAACATACACACATCCCACATCAACTCACCACTACCAACATACACACATCCCACCTCAACTCACCACTGCCACCATACACACATCCAACATCAACTCACCACTACCAACATACACACATCCCACATCAACTCACCAACACCAACATACACACATCAACTCACCACTATCAACACACACACATCCCACATCAACTCACCACTATCAACACACACACATCCCACCTCAACTCACTACTGCCAACATACACGCATTAACTCACCACTACCAACATATACACATACCATATCAACTCACCGCTACCAACATACACTTATCCAACATCAACTCACCGCTACCAACATACACACATCCCACATCACCTCACCACTACCAACATACACACCCCTTAACTCACCACTACCAACATACACACATCCCACATCAACTCACCAACACCAACATACACACCCCTTAACTCACCACTACCAACATACACACATCCCACATCAACTCACCGCCACCAACATACACACATCCCACATCAACTCACCACCACAAACATACACACATCCCACATCAACTCACGCCACCAACATACACACATCCCACATCAACTCACTGCCACCAACATACACACATCCCACATCATCTCACCACCACAAACATACACACATCCCACATCAACTCACCGCCACCAACATACACACATCCTTTATCAACTCACCGCCACCAACATACACACATCCCACATCAACTCACCGCCACCAACATAGACACATCCCACATTAACACACCACTACCAACATACACACATCCCACATCAACTTACCACTATCAACATACACACATCCCACCTGATCAACTCACCACTATCAACACACACACATCCCACATCAACTCACCACTATCAACATAAACACATCCCACATCAGCACACCACCAACAACATACACACATCCCACACCAACTCACCACTACCAACACACACACATCCAACATCAACTCACCACTATCAACATACAGCGCACTTTGCAGCAGCCGCCGATGCAGCCGAAGATGCCGATGATGAAGAAGAAGACGCCGAGAAGGATGAGGGCGAGTGTGGCGTCCTGCAGGTAGTCGCCGAGGTTGAAGTTGGAGAGGTCCACGGACTGCCCCGCCTGCTCCATGAAGCGCTGGAGGGACGTGTACAGGTCCTGGAGGTAGGGGTCCAGTATCCCCGACCCGAACCTCACGATACATCCCGCCACGAGGAACACCAGCCCGATCACCTGCAAGTCACGTGCACACACTGCCCATTAGAACTGAATTAAGCAATCTGTTTCATATGTAAATTAATAAAAACATTTGTAAATCCTACGTATTATTTTTGTATTTACATATATTATATCCTAAGTGCTTTAATTACCTTTACGTTTGTGTTGTAGTTTTTCGCGAATTCCATATGAATTTTCATTTTTGTTTCAAAGATATAAACAGGAAGACATGGACACGTCACTGTCTGTCAACAACCAGTCGATCTTAAAAGCTGCACTACTCAGCGAAAATTTCGCAGATTTTCTAATTAGTAAGACAGTATTTTGCTGTATTTTCACTTTCATGATATGGAGAAGAGTGTTTAGTGGTATAAAGTTGTATGTTTGATAGAAAAAAAAGCTGCAACATGTCATTCGGATTCCTGTGCTTGAAGTTAAATGCATTTTATCCACATATCCTTATTTTGTCTGGGCACATGGGCAGGATGAACAAAGGGGAGTAACTCTTGCAGCCCTTTCCCACTGCTAACTGCAACAACACTTCCGAACACAGACAAAAAACCCGACCAAGAATGGTATGATTAATTTCATTCATATTAAACGGTCGAAGGAAACATTCTATACCTATAGCTTCCTCGTGGCAGCTTATCGGGTCTATTGATCTGTTTTTATCTGGATAATCAATCACCTCGAACGACCTCGTGGGTGCAGATATGGCAAGTGCCGTTCTAAGCAACGCTTATCACAGGCCGATAGCGAAGACGACCGTTCATGCAACTGCTTTGTTTGTTTGCAATCAGAAATATTCTAGCTATATGGCGGCGGTCTGTAAATAATCAAGTCTGGACCAGAAAATCCAGTGATTGATATCATGAGCATCGATCCCTGCAATTGGGATACGATGACATGCATCAACCAAGTCAGCGAGCCTGACCATCCGATCCCGTTAGTCGCCTCTTACGACAAGCATAGTCGCCTTTTGCGGCAAGCATGGGTTGCTGAAGACCTATTCTATCCCGGATCTTCGCGGGTCTAGCAACGAAGCGCCGGTGTTATACATTATTCAATGCAGTAGAGTCAGCGACGTGTCATGCCTTCACTTGATCAGCAAATAAAGATACTTATCGTACACATCGTATCGATAACTTATCATCGTAACACTTCTGGTACACATCGTACCATTAAGATATCATCGTAACACTTCTGGTACACATCGTACCATTAAGATATCATCGTAACACTTCTGGTACACATCGTACCATTAAGATATCATCGTAACACTTCTGGTACACATCGTACCATTAAGATATCATCGTAACACTTCTGGTACACATCGTACCATTAAGATATCATCGTAACACGTCTGGTACACATCGTACCAGTAAGATATCATCGTAACACTTCTGGTACACATCGTACCATTAAGATATCATCGTAACACTTCTGGTACACATCGTACCATTAAGATATCATCGTGACACTTCTGGTACACATCGTACCATTAAGATATCATCGTGACACTTCTGGTACACATCGAACCATTAAGATATCATCGTAATACTCATGGTACATATCATATCGCGACGATATCATCGTGACACTTCTGGTACACATCGTACCATTAAGATATCATCGTAACACTTCTGGTACACGTCGTACCATTAAGATATCATCGTAACGCTTCTGGTACACATCGTAACATTAAGATATCATCGTAACACTTCTGGTACACATCGTACCATTAAGATATCATCGTAACACTTCTGGTACACATCGTACCATTAAGATATCATCGTGACACTTCTGGTACACATCGTACCATTAAGATATCATCGTGACACTTCTGGTACACATCGTACCATTAAGATATCATCGTAACACTTCTGGTACACGTCGTACCATTAAGATATCATCGTAACGCTTCTGGTACACATCGTAACATTAAGATGTCATCGTAATACTCATGGTACATATCGTATCGCGACGATATCACCGTACACTTATCGTCCATCTCATATAGTCAAATTATCATCGGGATACGTATCGTTCACATCGTATATCATCGAGGACACATCATACACCTCGTTCAAGTCGTATCGTCAAGTTACAATGGTAACACGCATCGTTCGGAAGCAGGTTCAACCCGTCACTGATTACATGAATACATACCGCAAAAATACCGTTGATGATGACCAAGAAGATCCGACTGCATCCGACTAAAACGCCCATAGCTGCGTCTGTTTACCTGAAGAAATAGAACAAGTTATTACAGGTAGACTGTCAAGATAATAAATCTGCCCTGTGGACGCCCGCTTCCTGGTCCGCCAACCTTATCTGCGTCGGCTCGACAGCTGTCTCGCGTACGTTTACGTCTGGAATCGGAGGGTGATTCATGAACATTGATCGATACACACTAGTTTAGTATTTTAAAGCAGAGTTGTAACTACCTTCAGAGGTCTTCAGTAACCCATGCTTGCTGTAAAAGGCGACTAACGAGATCGGATGGTCAGTCCTGCTGACTTGGTTGATGCATGTCATCGTATCCCAATTGCGTGGATCGATGCTCATGATGACAATCACTGGATTGTCTGGTCCAGATTCGATTATTTTACAGACCGCCGTCATATAGCTGGAATATTCCAGCTATATGACGGCGGTCTGTAAAATAATCGAGTCTGGACCAGACAATTCCAGCTATATGACGGCGGTCTGTAAATAATCGAGTCTGGACCAGACAATCCAGTGATCGACATCATGAGCATCGATCCACGCAATTGGGATCAATGACATGTATCAACCAAGTGAGCGAGCCTGACCACCCGATCCCGTTAGTCGCCTTTTACGACAAGCATAGTCGATTTTTACGGCAAGCATGGGTTGCTGAAGACCTATTCTACCCTGGAATCTTCACGGGTCCAGAGAGTGTGAGTGAGAGACGGAGACAAAGGGAGACAAAACGAAACCTCACGTCAAGTACTTGTCGTCTTGGCAAGATAGGGTGCTATTTTTGACGGGAAAAATAACAAAGCAGGTCGTTGAAGATATCATCACGACAATCTCATTATCTTTGTTATCTGACAATGAAGGAAGGGCACAGACACAGTCAGGAAGAGTGAGTGAGTGAGTATGGTTTTACGCCGCTTTTAGCAATATTCCAGCAATATCACGGCTGTATATTGTACCCATGTCGGGAATCGAACCCGGGTCTTCGGCGTGACGAGCGAACGCTTTAACCACTAGGCTACCCGACCGCCCCAACACACAGCGAGGAAGAATATGATAGTAGTCAGTTTGATCAACACGCATCACTGTACTTTGTAGAGTAAACGACAATTTGTAAGTAAGCGAGTCAACACCGTGTTACGTCAGAGTCAGACATATATATCCCGACTGCCTGTAAATAATATGAATTATCGAGTCTGGGCAACGATGAACGTCAGCATCAAGGATGGATCCAATTTTTTAAATGTGAGTGAGTATGGTTTTACGCCGCTTTTAGCAATATTCCAGCAATTTCACGGCAAGGGACACCAGAAATGGGCTTCACACATTGTACCCATGTCGGGAATCAAACCCGGGTCTTCGGCGTGACGTGCGAACGCTTTAACCACTAGGTTACCCGACCGCCCCCAGAATTTTTAAAAGGCAGAGGTGCAAAATATCAAAATCCTGTCTCAGATAATGATACTGCCTACAACATGCTACATTGGGTTTTCAAAGAGGAGGCGGAAGAGGGGAGGGGGGTGGGGACCCCTGGACCGCCACCCCTGGACCGCCACCCAACTACATCACCCCCTCTGCATCTGCCTATGAGCAAGGTACAAGGTGAGGTGAGGTGAAATTGGGTTTAACGTCGCGTCCAAGATTATTGCACTTATATAGCGACGTGCATGCACGTGTATGTGTGTGTGTGGCTGCTTGTAATAGTCCGGACTGATGCCGATTTATAGTGCTAGCTCATTGAGATACCATGCCGCAGTTTAACATGAATACCCCACTCAGACACAGTATACTGACTCCGAGCCGACCAGTCCTTGTTTTAGCCCCTTAATGCCGAGCGCCAGACAGGGTAACAACAAGTACAATCTTTTAACGTCTTTTTGTATGACGCGGCCCGGGATCGAACCCTGGACCTTCCGCTCTCCGGGCGGACGCTCTACCACAAGACCACGGAGGCGGTCTAGCAAGGTACAAAACAATGACACGCAGTCCTACCAAATAATAATTTCAGTCGACACAAACCTCAAGCGAAATGCAATATGTCCGTTCCTCAAATTGTATGGCTGTGACAAACGTTAGTTTAAGAATGACACTCGTAGCTTTAAATTTGCTTCGTTGAACGGGACCCTGGATTGAAAACCGACTTTCAACCGGGAAAACAAATCTACATGCATTGTTAGACGCAGGATATGACTCAGGAACATTTATGTACATGGGCTCAATGAACCCGGAAGTGATATCTGAAGCCAATTCCAAGCAGGATAAAGGAGAGCGTTCATTGTGGCGTTTTATTCAATACAGTTTAACAAACAAACAACACAGTTCCACGTTGACACCGAGGAAAATAAGTTACACTAATACACGCTATTGTCCTTGTCTGCGTGCACGTGACTTAACACGTTGTTGCCTGCAAATGGTTTATCGACCCTCAATTGAGCAATGGCGTATGATTAGTAGAGCAGGGACGAGTCCACATTTTACTACCGGGTACCCACCCCCCTATTACCCGACCCTACCCGGGTTGCCACTGTAGTTCTCAAGAGATGCAAAAATTCCGATTGGGAATTTTTTTTAACACAGCACGTGCCAAACGTAATTAGATACATGTATCAAACGATCTGGTCATGCATACACTGAAGTTGACTTAAGTTATATCTTTATTCAACCATATGAAAAGTCAGAAGGAATGGGTGCATAGTCAGAAAGAAAAGCGAACATTAACGACTTATAGTGTAACTATAGAGTTCCAGATAATTTTTGTCATTAAACTATATATCACATCACTTTCCACGGGCCCGGGTAGTCCTGTGGGTACCCGGGTCCTACGAAGTACCCACCCGCCCACGGTACCCGAGTTACCCGTCCCAGACCTAATGATTAGTAGCTTAATTTTTTATGTTTGGGGCTTTTCTTTCTGAGACCCGGATGTTTTTAAGTCGAATGATTTTCAACCGTTGTTATACTAGTATTCTTTAGGTACAGTAGGTCTGTCGACCAGAAACAGAAAATACAAATTAGCCTCAAAACAAGAACATTCTATCGTCTACCTTGTGAGGCTACGTGTAGTACACTGTGCTGCATCAACCAAGTCAGCGAGCCTGACCACCCGGTCCCCTTACAGTCCTCAAAGTTGCGACTAAAATGGTCGCCAATACCTAAATTTCAATTTGTCTACTGTCTAAAATTAAGAGCTAGCCAAATGACTACCTCGAAAAATATCTTGTAGCGACTAAATTCTATTGCTACACATATGTAGACACACAAATAAACATGTCTGCTACTAATTGTACCCGCAAATAATTTCTCCTAAAGTCAACAATGAACCAAAATACATAAATATTAATGTAATCAGTATTTTATTTTAGTTGATAGTTTATTGAAAAAGCAAGGATATACCTATATAATCTCATAACATAAATTGCATCATTGTTCGAGTCACAAATAACAAAAATCAAGTACAGTTTCTACTGATATACAATAGTAGTTAATTGATGAAAGATAATTTTAAATGCTTATGGCTAACTACACTATTGGCTCGACTTCTTAATTTTACCACTGGCTACCTGGAAAATATATATTGTAGCCACATGGCTACATGGTAAAAATTTAAACTTTGAGGCCTGCCCTTAGTTGCCTCTTATGACAGGCATAGTCGTCCCCTAAGGCAAGCATGTAGAGGGGAATGTCCGAGTAATTCTCAATTCCTTAAAAATAATGGAGCAGAGGCCACGCAGGGGTTGAGGCCCATTATTTTTAAGGAATGGAAAGTTACGAGGATATTCCCCTACTTAAAACTCATCCCTACTTTTACACTTTGACAAAATATTCTGAAGTTGAAAATATTTGAAAAATTCAAATGCTGCTTCAAGATAATGTACAGTTGACAAGCAACTCTCCATTCCTGAAAAAATAATGGAGCGTTCAAACAATAGAATGACTTCACAGATGTGTTTTAAGAGCTGTTGAAGGCCTAGTCTCTACCCGGATACAGTGACAAAGCTTCAGGTCAGTGTGAAGACCACCTGTTTCCTTATACTGAGCCGGACCTCTCACTAAAGGATACTGTAGTTTTAGTCTGCGACGGAAACATGACTGTTCATCAAAGCCGTTCAACAATATTCACCATACCTAATACCCCTAGACTGACATCTAGTCTCTGAAATAAACATATTTTACAGATAAAAACAGTTGTAAAATTATAGTTACGAAATCTGATAAAAAGGAGCCCCGAGACTCATTTCAGTCCTTATACTGCAGTAATCTAGACTTGCCAAACATTATAGACTTGCATGGGCTGTATTGGATATATTTGTTTCAGGATCTGTATGACAGACTATTAATACCCTCCGCAGTCTCTTGTTAATCAGTGTGTCCATGCTTGCTTTGTGTAGGATCAATACGGCCAGATCACAACTAATGCATGGTCAACAATATAGAAGTGCGTATCCACACCAAGTGAGTGAGTGAGTTGGGTTTAACGCTGCTTTTAACAGTATTCCAGTTATATCGCGGCGTGTCAGCTTAATGTGGGAGGAAAGCTCGAAGTGACGTTTACCACTTCGGTGAAACCCACGAGCACGGGTATGGTGCTGACAAACCTAGAAACATAATCGGGGAGAACCGGGATTCGAACCTACAATCATAGGTTCCTGGCGTGACCAAGGGACGCAACTCTGCACTGCGAATCGCTGCGCTTTAGACGACTGGGCCGCCCGTGCCCGGAATACACACCAAGAACACAATAGCTGAAATATGTATCCTGTTCGCCTAGGCCCACAGTACTCTGCTGGCTCCCTTACAAAGCAGACAGGCACTCAGAAAACGTTGAAGGCAAAGTGTTTCGCCTCCAAAACAAAACATTTGACATATTCTCACACTACCGCCATAAATTGTCAAACAAAATATTGGATATAATCTTACATTACACCCTTAAATTGTCAAACAAAATATTAGACATATTCTAACATGACAACCTTAAACTGTCAAACAAAATATTTGACATATTCTAATATTACTGCCATAAAC